CTGACCAAGCAGGAGGCTCAGCAGAAGCACCTCACTGAGGACTAGGAGCATAGGCTTTCCAAGCAGAGGGAAGACCTGCGGGAGTCCAAGGCCAGGTATCGGTGCCTGGTCTGCTTGGACTTGCAAAGCAAAGGGATGCACATGAACAAAGAAGATGGCGGACACGGCAGCTGCTTTTTCGCCAACTGGAGGAATTTTCAGCAGCCTGTGGCCAGCCGCTGCCCTCTTTAAGAGCCAGTATGCAAAGAGGCAGCGCAAGCAAGTAGCAACCAGGTGGGCAGGGTGAGCAAGCAGCGACAGGGGAAACGGTTCGGGGAGGTGGTCAGCCAGCCATTGCTACTGGTTCTCCGAACTGGGCAAAATTTCTGCCACTGTTTCGAGCGAACTGGTGCAAACCGGCTGAATACCACCTCTTCTGGACAAGTGAAGAACTCAACAAATTGAAGAACTGAAGCTGCTTCTTGGATGGGAAGCAAAATGTTTCCAAAGAAAAAACAAGAAAGTCCAGATGCCTTTTGGAAAAGCACCTGTGGGACAACCATGACCTGGATGATGGAGAGTCTCCGTAGGCATGGAGCCCAAGGCATCTCCCTCTCCTTCCCCCAGTTGCAGACTCACCTCTGCCGTGAAGTCAGCGTAGTTGATCAAGTCCACCTGGCTCTTTCTGAAGGTCTCCAAGTCCTGCCTGCCCCCTGCGCTCAACAAAATGATGTCTTCAAACAGCAAATTGATGGCACGGAGACGTTCCTGAAACTCTGCTGTGTACTGGAGCAGAAGGGGAGGAAAGGAAGGCTGCTTTCACACAATAGGGATAGAATCAAGATCACATGAAGGGTTAATACCACTTTATAATGCCTTGGTGAGGCCACACTTGGAATCCTGCATTCAGTTTTGGGCGCCATGATGTAGAAAAGATGTAGAGACTCTAGAAAGAGTGCAGAGAAGAGCAACAAAGATGATTAGGGGACTGGAGGCTAAAACATATGAAGAATGGTTGCAGGAACTGGGTATGCCTAGTTTAAAGAAAAGAAGGACTAGGTGAGACATGATGGCAGTNGATGGATGGATGGATGGATGGATGGATGGATGGATGGAGAGAGAGAGAGGGACGATGGATGGATGGATATGATAGGTAGGTAAGTAGGTAGGTAGGTAGGTAGACAGACAGACAGACAGACAGACAGACAGACAGACATGATTGATAGATATGATAGATAGATAGATAGATAAATGATAGCACAAAGAGATAGCACCCCTGAAATTATTTCACCTGTAATAACAATACCTGGAAGCTAGGTGACATGGTTGCTAAAAACTGGACACTTTCTTTCAGTTGTGCCTTTAAATAAAATGAAATAAAACAAATTAGGTTTGATCCCATGAAATATTAATCCACATATTTCCTCTTCCATTCAAGTGGAACCAGAAACACTACCTTCACCTTATCTAAAGGTAAATGCTATAGTCTATCATTTAAAACCTCCGGAAAGGTTCTTAGCTCTTTCTGTTGAAGCCCTTCTGGATTTCCAGGTGAGGCTCCACTCGAAGGCTTACCACGAGGGTCTCCATTGGGAGGACCATCTGCTCCTGGATTCTCCTGAGCTCCTGAGCTTCCTCCACCAATCGTTCTGCCAGAATCCTGTCACTCTGCAGGAAACATCAACATCTCTGGGTTGGCTGGGAAGCGAGGATGGGAATTTAAGAAAGACTTTGCTTCCCCTTCCCCCACTATAAATGGCCACCCATATCTCATATGATTCCCCACCTGAACGTTACTCAACCTTTCAAGATCTACTGCCAGTCCTTCTACATTGATCCCCACCACAGGGTTGCGCATCTGCAAGAGAAATCATCAGCCGTGTAAAGAGCTGTGAGAAGGTACTTGGGGGGGAGGAAGTAAGCAGCCGGGACAACAGTCAGACAGAAGGAATGCAGGTGTCAAAAGGGTCTCAGACAGGACCCTCCCTCCCTAGTTCTCTGGAAGGTAAGGTTGAGGGAGGGGAGGGGAGTTTTCAAACGTGCAAGCTTTTGTTCTATAGAGTAGGGGTCACCAACCTTTCGGACCTCTGGGACCACTAAATTGATAATTTTAAATCCCGCGGACCAGTAATATGATCTGCCTAATGACCAGCTGGGTGGGCGTGGCTAGGTGGTCATGTGACTGAGGGCGTAGCCAACTTGATGTCACTCATGTCGAGGGGTCTCTTGCCAGCCTCTACTCGCCATTCCTCACCTGCCCGCCCGGGCTCCTTAGGGCCCCAACAGGAACCTGTTGCTGGAGCTAAGTAGCTGCCATGAGAAAAAGTTGGCAAAACAGGTCAGTTTAAATTGGATCTGACCAAGCAGGAGGCTCAGCAGAAGCACCTCACTGAGGACTAGGAGCATAGGCTTTCCAAGCAGAGGGAAGACCTGC